TCTCTACAAAAGACCAACCAATACACTACAAAAACTGAAACATATTTTATTTTTCGTTGTTCATTCATATCTTATTTTACCTAGTTACCATTTATTTATTCATGCATATTTTTTAATATCTCCAGTTTTAAATGATATTTTTAGTTTACTGTCCTATAGTATACATTGGAATGATTTCAACCCTATTTTTATTTATCCCAATAATTATAAAGGTGTGCCTTGGAAATATTTGTTTANTTTTTGGTTTACTGTCCTATAGTATACATTGGAATGATTTCAACCCTATTTTTATTTATCCCAATAATTATAAAGGTGTGCCTTGGAAATATTTGTTTACATAAATTGTGACTAAACCGTTTGAGACCCACTGAGATAATTTAGAGGGAACTATCTGAACACTCAGAGTCCTTTACCTCACTGAGCTGTAGTTATCAGCCTCAATCCAACAACAATCCGTGGTACCGATGCGCGCCCTCTCTCTCTCTCTCTTGCTCGCTCGGAGGCTCGCTCGCACTTTGGCTGTGAGCTGCGGGCGCCAGATAAGTCAACATCCCCCACTTTCATCACTTACAGCGCACATCGTACAGGGCAAATGCAAAATCCCAGCGCAGCGCCCCTCCAGATCTGGCGCCCTAGGCGACCGGCTAGTTCGCCAGTGCCTAGGGCCGGCCCTGTGTGTGTTTGTGTGTGTGTTGTGTCTGTGATATCTTTATGAAAGTCAGTCTTAATTGTACTGCAGCTCCTCCTCCCTGCTCTCTTCTTCTTTCATTAATATTCACCGTATGATCACTCAATCACTTATTTCTGTGTCATCCTCTGTTACTCTCTGTAGTTATGATGGTGTTCCCTTCCTGATGCATGACTTCACTCTGAAGAGAACCACCGATGTCGCTGAGGTCTTCCCAAACCGAACGCACCTCGATGCCTCCATGTTCACCTGGGCCGAGCTCCAGCAGCTGAATGCTGGCAACTGGTTCTTATCGGTGAGACTAACAAACACAAACACACACACACACACACACATACACACACACACACACACACACACACACACACACACACACACACACACACACACACACACACACACACACACACACACTGCTGCTTTACATCTGTGTTCTGTTGTGTTCATTGACAGATTTGTTACTGTTCAGCTTCAAGTTGAAGGACTGTTTGTAGATGTTGTTTTATACTTTTATATGTATTGGGTCTTTATGGTCCATGTGTTAAATTAATACGCAGAACTGTTCCTGAACATTGTGTTCACTCATAAGTGATGGTTAAAATACACACAGATATTTCTCAAGGCCCTAGCACTGTTTTTAAGGTGTTTTTTTATTATTTAAAAGAGTTAATATAAATATATATAATTTGTATTGTGCTAAAATGCATTGTTCTTTTATAGTGGAAATGGAATGTTGGCAATTTGCCAAAGCTGTTCAAATTATCAGATAATTTGAACAGCTTTGGCAAATTGCCAACATTCCATTTCCACTATAAAAGAACAATGCATTTTAGCACAATACAAATTATATATATTTATATTAACNGTGAAGTTTTCCGCACTCTCGCGGGAATATCTCCACAATGGAGCGAGCTTAAGTTTCTTTTGATTGCAGGATATAGCCCAGCGCAACACCTTCGTCACACATCTTGCCACGTGTTTGCACCATTTTCAGGCGATTTGTAATCTGTTCTAGAAAAACGATGTGTTTTGGGATATTTGGGGAGTTAGGTGGTCCGTGAGTGTTTTTTGTATTGGTTAAGTGGTCCTTGGTATGAAAAAGTTTGAAAAACACTGTACTAGATTAATACATTTGTATGTGATATTTGCAATTTAAAAATTAAATAAATATATTACCTCATAATATCATCAAGAAATTACTTCACTTTGTGTAGTCCACGGGCTCAAATGTGTGGCTTTATTTGTCTTGTGCTTTGTGCTCAAAAGTGTGATCCAGTCTTCTAGAAATCATCTGTGCATGTGATGGAGGAATGCACAGTGCCTGTGTAGGGGTGTGGTCTCAATAGCCATGCAGTAAGCAGTGTGCTATGTAGATGTGATTGAGGAATGGCATGGATATTCAAGTATATTTGAATGGCATCTGTTTGTTTTAGTCAAGATTATGCTGAAATATATTTTCCCCAACTATGTTTAAGTTCCCTATGAAGAGCCAACCTTGAATTTAGAAAATTCCCAATTTATTCCCATAAATTCCCGTTTATTAAGTTTGCACACGTATTATATACAATACAGTATGTCCATATGTTTCTGTTTTGGTAGTAGATTGGGCTATTATAGGGAATTCAAATTCATTATTTACATTTCACATTGTGTATTATTTGGAGTATATAGTTATATGACCATAAATAATAGAAGGAAAAAAATCTAAGTGGTAATTGAATCTCACATTATTTTGAATCACACAACATTAATTGTGAACATTTTCCACTGCTTAAAATGATTCTCTCCAGTGTTGGCTGTCGGCCCCTATATTAAACAATTCAGAAGGAAGGACATATTTTAGTACTATTCTTTCTGGCAGAATGTATCATTATGGCCCACTTTTTATCACCACAGTCCCTAAATGTTTGAAGAAATGGGATTAAAATCAAGTACGGTTTTCTGGCGGAAAGACTCCCAGACCCTGTGTGTTTTGGTTTGATGGTTGTGGGCCTGTCTGGGCCAAAATGCCAGGACCAATTTTCTATCACACCTTAAAAACAGTGATAGGGCCTTGAGAAATATCTGTGTGTATTTTAACCATCACTTATGAGTGAACACAATTTTCAGGAACAGTTCTGCGTATCAATTTAACACAT